ACTGTCCTTCCCTGCTCTCAAAGCCTTCAGCCTCACTTGCAGAGCCATGCCTCTTATCGCAGGTATCTGGGATTACTGCAGGCTGTTTGGGAGGTGTCAGAGCTGTAGTCTTTCCCTCAGAAACATGGTAGGTGACAGTGAGAAGGGCAGGAGAAGAACAGCAGGTGGCTGTTGTATTGGTATCAACAAGTTGAACTACTACAGTCAGGCATTACTGCATGCCACCGTTTCCATCCCCAGCAGCACCATGTCCCTCAACTTACCTTTCCAATTTGTCTGTAGCAGAAACTATAGATCTTTCTCCTTAAGTGAAGAACTATTTCTCTCAGCCACATCAGAAATCAAATTGCTAATTACTGCGTTTCTCACCTCCCTAGGAAGTAATCATCCCTCCCCGCAGAGACCTCTTGTAGAACTCTCTTGTGCCATGAAAAACTTCTTTCCTGCAGGCTGAGAATTTTTTTTCTGAGAAGGAATCTGTATTTTCTAAACGTGCTGAAGTTACTGAGTCCTTTTCCTTCACTTCCCTGAAATTGCATCCATTTGTAGATAGGTTAATTTGTGTGTATACATAACAGTGAGAACAAGCAATTATAACAAGCTTCGACTAAAATGGACTCCAGAGCTTTGAACCAAATATCTCTGAGCACAGCACTTATCTCCAGCCAGCCACAGGACTTTCTTCTTGGTGTGCATTTGTCACCGATCTGTTTTAAAAATATGATGTGCTGCTGGAATCTAACCATTTTGTGGAGCACTGCAGCCCATATTAGCTGCTACTTTAGCACATAAAATTGTAACCAGCTAAGCACGTAGGTATGTTTGAGAACTTAAGTTCAAGTGGCTGTACTACATGCCAAAGATGAGCAGACACAGAAATGAACGAGGTAAGATTAATTGCATCTAAACATTTTCCTTTAATGATAAGAGGCCTCCTTTCAGTTGCATCTTCCAAACAGCCAAATAATAAGACAATCAGTCTTCAACTCTGCAGGTGTCCTATTTCCTGTTCCTCTGCACCTTTATCATTTACAACACTTTCTGTACTTAATTTTAAGGAACAGGATGTTCTGAGAGTGACAGGCAGCTTTCTTAATGGGCTCATCAGCTCCTCTTCATGCCATGACATCAATTATGTACAGTTGTCTTTGACTTGGAATTTGTAACCCCCATGGTGACTAATTACAGTACCTAATGTTAGAGTCCCTGGTGGCACGGGCTGGAGATTAATAAACGCAATTCAGCCTGGGGATGGAAAGCTTCACAATCCCTGGAGAGCTCATGGCTCTTGGATTTTTGAGGCCACTGTAGTTGGAAAGGAATGGTGATTACCATTCCTCTTTGCAGTTTGGAGTTTGTTACCGTCCTCTTTGGAGTAAACATGAAAAAATGAGAAGGAATCTCAATGCTAAGGTCATCTCTTTCCCGTATTGATGCTATTACCTTTTTATTTTAGGCCACAAACATCATTTTATATTTTCTTCTATTTTAATCATGTTTTAAAGAATTCTCTTCACATACAAGAGCAAGGAATGTTCTTAATAATAATTGGACCATAGGGAAATTATGACTTAATAGGTTGAGAGCCAGGGTACTTGAAAAGAGATTAAGGCATTTCTGATGAACTTGTGGCTTCTAGGAGTTGGAGTGAAATTGTGACTTATCCAAACTGTGGCAGAACTGCTGATTTTCCAGAGCTTCTTTTACTCAAGAGATCTTCGGGTAATGGGATCTGACTACTAATTCTGTGTTAGCTCACTTCAGCTCTTGTTGAAGCAATGTAAAAGGGACGAATCTCTTTGAAAGCAGGAGACCAAAATCAGAGACGGCCTTATGGATTCAGGGGCAAACTCTGCAGGGCTACACTAACATCCCAGATAACTTCTCAAGTGAGAATAACTGGGAAGGTGTGCATTGGGTTTTTCTTTTTTTTTTTTTTCCATAGATTCCCTTTGAATCAGCAGTTTGAACTAGTTTGAATTTGACTCGGGTACCATACTATGGTGACAAAATCAGTATTGGTCATTGGATTTTAACTTCCCATCCTAATTCCTAATTTATCTCAAAAGAATGTTACAAAAATATCAACCTATGGATCCATGGGACCATTAGCCATATATGTTGAAAGAAGAGTATGGAATGAGCAATGAATAATCAAGCTACCAAAAATGTGAAAAGAACCTGTATGGTACAACCTGTGAGACAGCTGGTATTTTTAGTATGATGTGAAATCAATCCCCAGGGAAAGGCAAAGCTAGTTACAGAGGACAAAGGGCAGGCTTTATTCATTAGTAGCTGATTTTTGGTACAGTATCGTTGTAGGCTGTGAGGAGAAGGACTTACTAAGATATTTAGGTACCTAAACATGCCTAGCAGCATTTATAGCAGCATCTAAGTAGGTTAGGTACCTAATTCCCATTAACTCCATCAACTTCTTTAAGCTGCTAAACATCATTGTAAAGCTGGTACCAGTGTGAGCTGACAGGTGCCTCTATTTAAACTGAGGTGGCTGTACTCATTAGCAGCAGCTGAAGTCTAAGCTCATGTTTCTTGCTCAGCTCAAGAAACGCACTAGAAGCTACCTGGGAAACCTTAATGCTTACTTCAAACCTAGCACCAAAACTCAGCGCCCTTCTTGCAAATTCTGGTCGGAGTGACTTTTGCACAGTTCTACCTTAAATTAAGTCAGAAGCAAAATTTCAAATCAGCTCAGGAATTAGAATTGCCCTTTGAGGGCAACTACGTGAGAACTGAAAGGGGAAGTTCTCAGTGCAGAATCTCATACCACAGCAAACCTGTGTGAATCCTGAAGGCTCCAAGTGAGGTTGTGTCCACGTGAATGTGGTTGTGCCCCTTGGCTTGTGTTAAATGTCTGTGCACAGATAGCAGCTGTTTCTGTCATCCTGATTGATCTGTAGAGGCTCCATGTATATACTTACACAACATCTGTATCTTTTCTGCACTTCACTGCAGAAGACTGGCAGAGCAGCCATTATACTGGCTTGCCTGTAGAACACCAGTGCCTTAGCACAGGTTAGGCAGTGTGGCTGTGCTCCTGTCAGCATAGGTGCCTGAATATTTATGCTTTATTCATAGAATGGCCAGCTTGCGTATGTATGCATGCATATATTTATTGCATGGAGTTGATGAAAGAATCATCATTTATTGAGACCCTGAGTAGTGTTACAGGGAAATTACTTATTATATCTAATATGCCAGTGTAGGTATCTGTGCTAAGCTGTTTGCTTTGATGGCAGCCAATGTGCCATCTAAAGCTTACAGCATTTGTGGTATTTGAAGGGCAGAGTGGTGCAAATATTCAGGTCAGTATTAACACCTGTGCGTACCAGAACGGTATTTCTCAGTGTCACCTTTGTATGGAAAATAAATAAGAGATGCAGGGATTACTTATGGCCCTTTTGCCATTCCTTTCTAAAGCTGACTTTCATTATTTTAAAGGCCATTAAGTGCACTTTTTTTTTGTCCACATCATTTTTTTAATTCTGCAATGAGAATGGGAAGCCACTGTTTACAGCACTGTATATTTTGACAACTGTTCTTTACAAATTCTTCTCAAGTTATCCTAGAACCATTTTCTCAATATGCATAGTTCAGTTCAATCAAAATAATTTCACAAAATATTTCACAGAAAGGAAGAGACAAGGGGAGATACAGAGAAATATCCTAGGAAACAAGCATGCCAGCATACAAAAATAGATTAGAACATTTGGAAATTGTAGGTATGAAAATGTAGCCTCAATAGCAGAGCAGTTGAACTAGTGGATCATCTGAAGAGGTAATGCTTACCAGAGAAGAAGCTAGATAGATGCAGAGATCTATTTCTAATGACTTTAATTTCTAGGCAAATTTATAAGAGAAAGAAACAGTCTCCATGTTTCTGAAATGTTCTCATCTGGGGGTGGAGATGGTAAGCAGAGCTGGCAGGATGTCAGCATTGTGCCTTGATTTCTTCTCCTCCCGTGCACAGCAGGCTGTGAGATGCATTCTCAGAGCAAGAGATCATTACCAGCTCTTCAGGAAGGGCCAGCAGTATGTACATAGCTGTCCTCCTCCAGCTGATACAACAGAAGGACAGTTTTAAATTGCTGCTAGGTCTCCGTAAAGCCTCTTCTGATGAAGTCTGCCTGATCCATAGCCCCTGCCCCTAAATAGCTTCTCTATGAGGAAACTCAACTAGCTGTCGGAAAGCCAGCAGCAGAATAAATCAAGACTGTGAGGGTCAAGTGGAGCTTGAAACTTCTTTGGAGCAGAACTGGAAAACTGGAGTCTATATGAAGTCTGGCTGCCATGGAAGTATGAACTGAAAGCGCCTGTCATAACGCATCCAAATTACTTCTAAGGCTACAGTAAATAGTGCAAGGCATTTAGAACCTCGCATACAGTTTATGGGTCACAAGTCTATGCCATTTCAGAAAAGGTATTTAAATAATGGTGCATCTAGAGTGCTCAAATGAAACTGAAGCACACACTTTGTCTTTTCACACTGTGCTCTCAGGGAGCACAAAGGAGGCCATGAAGCACTTAGGGGTCACTGGAGCAAAATATGAGAGAAGCCCAAGTGTTACTGCTATGAGAAATTTTCTCAGAACTATATGCTACTGTGGGTCTGCTGAGAAAACTCCTACCTAATCCACCTGTGTAGATGCATGGATAACGTAGTTCTGACCTACTTAAAAGTACAAAACATTTTTTCCTATTTGCTTATTCAGTGTATCCTGACATCTCCTTCCAGCAAAGACTGCAAAAGAAACTTTCATGAGCTGCACTCTGTTCCTACACGAAGAACATTTGGTGATGTGCTCTACAGCTCACAGGCCATATGCAGTAGATTGCTGCACGGCTGTTCAGAGAAGAGACTTGACTTGGGTTTTTACAAATTGTGTATTATTTTAGATTCAAAAGGACCAGCAGCCCCTGTGTGCCTGACTTGGCACAGCTCTGCAGTGCTGAGGATGGAGATATGACACAGACACCAGAACTAGGAGGAAGTCTGAGCTTTATACACCTAGCTTGCTCTGAAAGTAATGCTTCCTATTTATTTCCATGGAAAACACAACAAATACAGTGAGCAATACAATAGTACTATTTGACAACAAATTCTCAGCTACAAAACAGTATTTTTCAGCATAGGCATCACTGGGAGCTATACATTTTTGCCAGCAGTGAATAGGAGCTTGCATGTTGCACTTGTAAAAATCTGCACCTGCACAGCTGACTCTGCTGCAAAAAATTTTTTCTACCTGGACAACAAAACAGAATGGAATATTGGCAGAATGGTTCAACCTCTACTGCCATACCGCCAACATCTGCCTCTGACATCATGGGCCAACATCATACAACAGGAGGCATTGCTTTTGGAGCATCCCTGGTACATTCTTCTAGATGCTTGGATTTTTAATACCACATCTGCTGGAGACAGATCTCCAAAAAATGTGACCGCAAGTCCTAGTTTCTTTGTATGGGCCAGCAGAGGGGAGCTGGAGTGGAGAAGGGTCCCCAGCCATTTCAGAGAGGTTTAGAAGTCCTAAGTGTGTGCCTCAGAAAAATGCAGGTTGCAGCCTGTGCCTTCCTCACACTGTTACAGTACTGTTCTCCTTGGCCTGAAGTTTAGTAATAGGGTTTTCTTTTGGGAGATCCATCAGTGCTTCTGCAGTGTTTCAGATCCTTCTTTCATTTATTAGTCAACACCTACCATATACATATATATATAAAATACATACACAGAGTCTCTAGAAAAATATAGCATTGAATCATGTTTGTAAAGGTAGCATCACATGTTGTGTTGTGAATAATGAGATTTAAAATATCCTGTGCTATTGAGGTGCAGCAAAATCTGTTTACTTAGATTGCAGTAGCACCCCGTCATTTTCTTTATCCTCTTTAAATCATCACCAGTGTTTACAAAATGATTCTGTTCTCCTTGAAGACCATTTTTGAGGAGGTGACTGATTTCTGCTGATCCTGGAGGTGGTTTCACAGGTTTCATTGTACTTGAAACTTCACAGCTTCTACTGAAGTATCTGATGCATGTATGCACCAGTTTAGCAGAGTACAGAAGTAGAATAATTTTCTTTCTTGCCACATATTGTTATCGAGTACGGTGTCTTCTCCCAAAACTGCTTCTTTTTGTTTGACATCCTATCAAAGATTCATTTTCCTAAAGCCCAACCTTAAAAGTAATCAGGGCTGCAATACTTGTAATTTGTAACTGCCAAATTTCTGTTAGCAAAACTCATTCACGAATTTATTCTATAAAAATAAGATTATTCAGTAGCTACACAAAAGGCATCCATCTGCATTACACTCATTAGCATTGGTCTTAAAAAAATGCAGGCCTTGCACACTTCAGCAAACCATCAGATGGAATTTACAACACGAAGCGTATCCAATGCCTGTCACACTGGTCAAAATAGAAAATTTCACTCTGAGTCAGTGAAGTTATGCTGCTACAGAAGTCATGAATTGGGTCCTAAGATTCACAACTGATCCCTACACAGCTGGGGAACTTACGGACTAAGAGAGACTTCTGCAGTGCCAGCATCTTTTGAGGCACCTAAAAATAAAGCCATGTAAATAGGCAGCAGAACGCCCCTGACTTCATGGGGAGAAGTGTCACTGGGTACTACAGTGTTGGTACTACAGCGATGAGAGAACGTTAGAATAAAATGCGTGCTTCTCCTCTCTAATGTTTGGAAATCAAACTGCTTTCAGTCAGCAGGTGCCCTCAGTGGCTCTTGGATCCTGGAGGCTCTCTTATTCCATCGTCATCATCCTCAGAGCAGAGCAAGCTTAGTGCGCTTGTTACAGGGTGGATCCACGATGTTGTCTGTGTCACGTGGCTAAAAAGGAAAAGACATGCTATCAGCAATCTAGAAGGTTTACCAATCTCTGAAACAAGAAATGCCAGATGATATCCATTTTCAGGCCTTGTGTTATCATTACAATACTTTCAAATACTGAATTCTCTTTGTCTGGCTAACTAGGAGATTTTACAAACAAAATCAGGAGTCTTCCGGATGCTAGAATCTGGAAAGTTTCACTTCCAAATAAATGAAAGAGTGCTTTTCTAGGAGATTCCTGGTTCAAACTAGCAACATTTCCTGTTAATGAATAAAACTGACCCAGCAACAGTGAACAGCCCAGACTATCAAAGTCTTAAAAAAACCCACATCGAGCTGGCAAGGTATTAACATTGCCATCATAGCAGTTAGAGAGTGAAGCATTGTGGATAAGAGGAAGTGGACTGAACACTCATCATTAATATTTCTCACCGAAAAAAGGTTGATGAATAAACCCAAACAAGGTGTACTTTGTGTAAGTAATAAAAAGGAGTATTATCTTTTTAAAGGCCTAAACCCTATACTTGAAAAGGAGTCTGAGCTGCTTGGTATTTTTGTTGAGCTTCCAGATGAATGGGAAGAACCTGCTCAAACTCAGTAAGGACAGATAAATGGGATGTGCTTATTGTCTGAGGGCGAGAACGCTGCACACCCTACGATTGGTAGCATGCATGCTAGCCATACTGTGTGTGGGCAAGGCACAGCCTCTTCTCCCTTCTGGAATAATGTGTTCTTGGTAAAGGAAATAGCTTCTCTGGACTTAAAAAACCTTGCTAATAAATTCACTGTTTTTATAGTCAGGCCAGTGCAAAGATGAATTTTTTAATACAAGTTCATGAGAAAAAGTTGCTGAAAAATATGGCATATTTAATATAAACTGTAAAAAACAAGCAGTTCTCCTCAGTTAAGTCTCACAACTACTAACTGTACCTAAAGCTCATTTCTGTACTCACATTTCTGGTGCATAAGTTTAACTAAACATGAAGTTGTGATGAAACTACTCTAGATTTACCTTTTCAAGTGAAAAGTTTGCATTTTTATCTTCAAGAATGCTATACAGAGTATCTGATAATGGAAATTGATTCACCAAAGTAGGATTCTGCGGGTCAGAGTTCATCACACTGACTTACAGGTATGGAGACTGCTTTCCATCTACCTGTGTTGAGACACAGCGCCTTCCAATGCCTGAGGAATCACGGGATTCCATCCATTCATTCACTGCCAATGCAAGATTTATTGCCTGCAGTACCATTCAAGTGTTTATACTGCCTTTTATCAAGCCATTTCTCAGCAAGCCATTTCTGAATTTAAATAAGAACCAAATTATTTTTGAATTTTTTTTTCTCATTTTTCACCTGTAGATGCCTTGACCTGCTGCATACCTTAGAAGTCAGTTCTTTCAAACTTGCACTAAACTTTGTCCCATGCTTCTAGTAGTACAGTTTGTTTTAAACCTTTTGTTAAAATCCTTACTAGGAAATAGCTCTTGTAAATAACTGTTAAGTCCAGATAGCATGTAAAAAGCAGTTGTAAAAAGACATACATTGTAAGAAAACATACACAATATGCACAACATGATTTAGGTAAAGAGTAGATGTAGAAACCTCCTGCTATTTATTTTTAGCTCCCTACAAGTGCTGTGGCTAAAAAGCTTTGACATAATCAGTCTGAAGAGATAATCCCAGATTTACTGGTTTGCAGAACATTCCTGTATTAGAAATACATCCTCTCTGATTTGTGTTAGGCCATCAATACGAGCAAGAGAGAATACAAACCTACTTCTACTGGCATTTTTGGAAGGCTTCTTCTATTTATGAAAATCAGATTACTTGAAATTAAACATTCTTTTTTTTCCCCTTCCTTTGTTAAAATTGGTTTAAAAGTGGCCACTCCTTCAAGGCACAGTGTATAAAACTATCCAGGGAGCTGCTAGGTCCTGAAGGATGGACTGACATCACCTTTCCTCGGCTGCAGGAAGATTGAGAGCACTTGTCACTGTGTCCTAAGGTGTCATAAATGTTGTTATTTTTTCTTTAATGTCCCTCAGGGACTGAAGGTTTGGCTTAATGGTAATTAATGTTTGAGGGATACCGAGTGAAAGAAGAGAGCCTCGCTGTTTATCCCTGGATAAAACAGTTGTCTGCTAAGAAAAATGTATGAGCAATCTCAGAAGTCTGTTATCACTAGGAAGATATGCGCATCTAAATGGCATGCTCGATCATTAAAAATTACCAACAACAAACTAATGAGCCCACTGAAAATGAAAGCAGTAATGGGATCGGAGCCAAAGCTGAGTAAGCCCAAAGGTCTGAGTGACAGGATATACAAACTTCTCACAGTTTCACAAGTCTGACCTGAATTCCTCCTCACACCAGTTTTAGCCAGCTGCTGTTAACCCTACAGCGCTGCGTTAACCAGTGCAGTTACTCACAGTCCTGAGTGCCTCCCCAGGCCTCACACGAAACACACATGGAGCAAACCCTTACTGTGCCCTGCTCTGCCTCTCCCCAGACGCAGGATCCCAAGAGCCCCGACTCAGCCCATAAATGCCCCAGCACAGGAAAACTTCCTGGGAGCCTCAACTTTCCAGCGTCCAGCTCTATTTATAGAAGTTGCTAAATAGTGAAAACTAGACCCTTGATCACACCAGGCTAAGAGTAGAATTACCCAGCAGAGGCAACAGAAATCAATGCACTGATTTCTGTCGAATTTACAAGGCTTGAGCAAAACAGTAATTTCAGCTTTAAGTGTTTCCTTACTGAAATGTTAACAGCTGCCTCGTATGACACGTCAGAACCTGGACACAGCAGTGTTTGTGGAAGCTGAAAGAACGCTTCTCCATTTTGGTTCTTGAAATTAAAAAACAAACAGCCTCTGAAGGAAAAAAATTATCCAACCAAAAGCAGCTTAAGGACTCAACATTCTTGTATTACAAGCTCATGTTATCATAAAATCCAAAGCCAAGTTTTCAGGTTGCACATCTGAGGCTATTTTTCTTATAGTCATGCAACTAGTGAAAATCAGACTGGCAGAATTCCCTACAACCTAATCATCTGCTGATGATACACTTCCAAACCTTAGAAATTATTGTGAATTTTCACCTTATCTCAGATTACTACCAGTAAGTCTTTTAATTTTTTTTGTTAGCCAAAAGTCTACCTCTGTAGAGGGAGGTAGGAGCAGAGCTCATACTTGATTCATTCCCACTGCATGTTCAGTGCAGCAGATCAGAGTTTCCCTTAGTTTGTTACTCTGAAGTCACTGAAATACCAACCTTACTGGAACATGCAGTTTACTCTTAGATCACCTCTGCTACAATCTGATCTTAATTGAGCTTGATTTCTTCTTAGATTGCCTGTGGTCAACTAGTATATTGCAATACACTAATACATGCTGGAATCAAATAGCAGAGGAAAAACCAAACACATCAATGTGCTACATTTTTGGGTTCTTTGTAATGCAGTAGAGATGTGAAAGTGCACTTACAAAAGGAGCAGGTTTGTTTTTCAATTGAGCACGCTAAGTAAAATCAGCTGTGATTTATTTTCCATTTACGATGATACCTTTAGCTCTACTTCACTGTTTACACTGCAGAAGTTCATTTACCACACATGCTTTCTATTCTTAGTTGAGTCACAAAATCATAAACAGTTTCTGTGACTGCCCAGCTTTCAGCAGAATTAATGTTGGCTCCTTCCCATACAAAACCAAAACAAATAGAATATGATAAAAATAAGTCCAATTTGTTATTTTCCAAAGTAGAAGCATAATTTTAGGTACGATTTCAAAAGCTACCGGAACACACTGTGTGTTTTTATTAACCTGTAATGTATGTATTGCTTGTCTTCTACTCTCAGTTACACTGACATGCTGTCAAAGCACCTGTGCCTGCTTTGTCACACTGAAATACGCAGTGCTTCAATGTGAAGCTTCTCATTTTTGGGTAAATTAATGAAAGATAATCCTAAATCAAACATTACCATTTCCTTTTTAATATAAGACAGAAAATCCATATGTCCTAATTCATCTAACAGAAAGCATCCCAAAACATTAAAGGAACTTCTGTGTGTCTTTTAGGCTAATTTAATTTAAGATAAATGTTCTTGAGAAAAATAACAGTTAATATGGAATAGCTGGAACCTAGTCCTGTTAAAAAGCTAGAAGAGGTGTTACAGGGGCAAAATTCACAGCTGGTCCTTACAAACTGTATACATATGTAAGCAGTGGGTGGGAGTGGGAGGGAGAATAGCAAGGCCCTACCTAATTATAGGTGCCAGTCTCATGATACAGAGCTGCCATATGTTAAAGGTGAATGTAGTGGGAGGGTGGAAGCGATCAACTTTGATGGGTTTTCTGAGGAAAAAAATTAGTGTCCCAGCTATATTGTAAGTAGAATAGCATAGTTCAGTTGGAAGGGACCTTCACAGATCATCAGGTGCCCATTGGAATAGGGTGCTTGGATAGGTGGTGGAACCTTCCTCACTGGAAACGTCCAGGTCCTGGTTTGACAGGACTCTCATTTACTTTTCCGCGGAAGGTTTGATGACTTGACCTCCAGAGATTCCTTCTGATCAAGACTTAGGATTTTCTTCTCTGATTTTGGAATTGCAGTGGACTGCTGAAGAACCCATTGGGCTACGTTCAGTTGTTGCTTTAAGTTCGTGAGGTCAAGATTTCAGCTCTTGTGAAACAAATTCACCGATGTAAACAGGGATAGAAATATCAAGGGTAAAATAGTGAAGAAGCAGGCATGTATTTCTATTAGACATCGTGTGAGGGGGCATGAATCTGGGGCTGCACGTGGATGAACGACTGTATTGCTGGCAGGCAAAATAAAATAACGCACTATCCATTACTTTAAAGTATATCAGATTATTTCAAAACATATCTGGGGCCAAATTCAACTTTTCCTCTTCAGCAAGAGGAGAGCAGAGCCACATTAGCAATGAAACTGATTGCTGCCTTTTAGTCTACTGGCATAATTTTTGTCCTTTTGATAACTTCCTTTATATTATATTGCAGAACACTGAAACTTGCTCTTGCTGCACTGTATGCTGACACATAACTCAGAGAGGCATACGCTGCTATCTGATATTGCACGGTAAGTCTATGCGCATGACCTTAATGCCTTGCACAGAGGTACGTGAGTTTATGACACGATAGCAGCCTTAAAGCTAATTTCCTCTCACTTGCCTCACTTGCACTTTGTGACTGATCCTTAGCAACTTGGTTGATTGATAATAATTTACTGCAAAACTGAAATCATTTCCTGAGTAAAAGAAAGAGGTGACTTCAGAAAGTTGTCTGCAGGTACATAGAGGTGGACAAGATGAGTCTTTCCACAGTAGATGGAGAGCAGTTTAATGCCTTAGGAATAGAGCCATGTAAATGTTTTATTCATGTCATTTATTCACATAAGTGGGTTTTCATTTCAGTGTGTAACACAAGCCAGCTGGTTTGCTTCTTTTAAACTCTGATTTCTCATGCGCTTCATATTGCTACACCCCCTTCAGAGATATTTATGGGAATTTCACAGCAAGCTGTCTCAAGCTTATGTGCTATTAAGATTCCGTTCTGGGGTGTTTACCACATTAGATTTATAGCATATAGATTTATGGACTCAGGTAGTTGATGGCACAATAAAGCACAATGGAACTGAAGGCAACTGCTAAATAATTCTTACACCCCTCGTGGCTTTGGATCTTCTAAACATCAAAGAATAAAAGGATTGATATTCACAGCCAAAGAGAACAAGTTTACAGTGCCAGGACGGTGAATTATCAACTATTCAGCTAAATCAATTTAAACAAATGAATTAAATTATGTGAATTGTCTAATTATCTGAAAAGGATGAGCTGATAAAGATGCATCTCAAGCAAGCTCCTCCTAGAAAAAAGATTTTTTCAATTATATTTTTAATATTAGGTAGAATTTTATCTTCAAATTTCTTCAAGCTACATTAGAAACAAGTGACTTGCAACCCTTGTTCCTTTCTCCAAATAACTGTCTGAGATGAATACTGAAGAGGTACGAATTTTCAAGCCTATGAAGAGCCTGGCTTACACTCTGTATGTACATTTGGCAACAAAGATATAAACAAAATTAGGAAATAGGTTAAAAAAAATACTAATTAATATCATGTTTTATCCTTGCATTCAATTAATTCTGTTCTAATGAAGTGAATTAAGACCTCTTAACAAATGTGGTTGTTCCATTTAGAACATGACAGGTGATTTCATTCCCTTCTCTTCAATTAAAATGGATAGATTTTCCTTGCCAGCCACACAAAGCTTCACAGGACAGGTTACAGAAAGTGGCAATGATGGAAAACCCAGGGCTCCATCACTTGCAATGCTAGGAACATGTTAAGAAGAGGGAAGAACATTCTTGATCCATTAATGGTCAAAGGCCAGATATGCAAAAGTTCCTAAAAAACTTGTTCATGTGATCTGTTCAGTTCAGATCTGTAGCTTCAACAAGTGGGGGCAATGTGAAAAACATGGGAAGCTTTCTGAAATTAACTTCTACCACCTGGAAAGGCTGAGATTCTGCTGTTGCTAATAAGCATCTCTTTAGTACAGCTGCAACAGTTCATCCAAGATCCAAGAGCAGATCTTAAGAGTTCTTGAGCAAACCCAGCTATCTGCTGACACCCAAAAACACTTGTATGAAAGACACCAGTAACAAAACCAGGAAAAAGTGTTAGATTTCTTTTATTCTGTTGCTAGTGTATTGTTTGCATAATTCTCTCTTCAAGCTCAGATCCCAGTTACGCTGCTAAAAGCCTGTATTCCAAGTGCTTTACCCAGAACAGAACCCAGCATCCACCTTAAGCATCCGACTGTGCCATAACGTCTCCCTGTATCAACGCCCATCAGGATGGAGACCAAGTGAACAGTGCTCTGCTTAATACTCGCTCTTGTATTTATTTGCATTGTTATGAAATTGGATGCCGATTTGTTTTCATTTCCTAAATTATTTGCCTACAATTTTACTTTTTATAAATCCCATTTAGTAGCTTATATCTGTCTGAAAATAAAAGCCACCCTTTGACTAGAGCTGGAATGCACTATTGTATATGGTGTGTTTGAAAACCTCTGCAAAAAAACTCAACAAATCACGTCTGCTTTAACACACGTAGCCTGAGGCACCATGAAATGAGTCAAGGACAACAGAGCAGTGCTTGAAAAAAAACCCCAAAAAAAACCAATTTCCTGCTTTTCTTCACTAGCTAATACATAACCTTCACTGTTATTTATGTGACTTTTGCAAGAGTTTGGGATAAAAGCAGTTGCATCTCAGTGCAAAGATTCACTGCCTTTCATGTCTTTTAAGAGACTTCAGGGAAATCTACCTGCAAAATCAGACTTAAACAGTATGTAAATTCCAGTAGCTGAAATAATCTGCTACGATGTAAGCAATCATTCGTGATGTATACAGAATGGAGATAAATTATAGTTTCTCAGCAATTGTTTCTGTCTTTTAGAGGAATAGTAAAACTATTACATGAATTAGTTTTCAACTATATTCTGGAAAAAAAAATGCTTTGCAGCAACAGAACAACTGATTCCCACAGAAGGGAACAGGAGATCATATTTAAAAAGTCATCAGTAGCTGCAGATAGCTTGGAGACTGAATTCATTGCTAAGGCAGTTCTCCCCAAGATGTCCATTCAGGACAGGAGGTGACCAGGGAAAGTTATCTTTCTAGTTACAGTGTGCTATGAGTGCTGCAGAATGAGGAGAGCAGACAGAACTCCACCTTCTAGGGCAGCCAACACATTTGGTAGGACAGCTGGACTCTGGGGTCCTTAATGCCACAATGGGACTAAAATCCACCGATGAAACAAGACTGATATGTTCTAAAAATCCAGCCCTCAGAATTCTTCCACTTCCCCCAGAATGTAAGAACATTTGCAAATGGATATATTTACCATACAATTTTTAGGGGATTTTTTTTTTCCTTCTGTATCTTCTAGGTCTGTTATATGGTCAAACACAGCTGGGGAAGTTCTCAACACATGCACTGGGGTTTTCAAAGACATGTGAAAGACAGAATCTCACAGTTCTCATTGAATTTCAGTTGACTTTGTGACCGAGCCCCGTAGGACTTTCTAATCAGTGCAGTACTGAATCAGAGGAATGAACAAGTGATGTTGGTAATAAAGGTGTGTATTAAAAATGTGAGAGCTTTTGTTAATTTGCTCCTCTTTTTTCCTGTTCAATCTAGGTTTAAAAATGCAGTTAGATGGGATTTTATTTTATCTGCAATCCATTTCCTCTCAGAAATACTCACTTGATAAAATATTTGATTCCATCTGCTGTATAAGCTTCTTCCCATCCATAAGGTAGACCTACAATGAAATAAAAAGTCTCAAAATTTAGGTGACACAAGGAACAAATGGTTTTGAAATGGCGTAAGTTTGAGGCATTTCATGAAAAGGTTATAAACAAATTCTTACTCTTTTTGTCACAGATGATAATATAAGCAATGCAATTTAATATTTGCTGCACAAAGAAGCCACGAACCACTCAATGATACTTTTATTACCAGCATTTCTCTTCCTGAAGCTGACAGTCTGGTCAAATTGGAGTGCAGCAGTTTGGTCTTTGGAACTTTTCTTGTAATTCACACCTTTATAATATCAGCAAAAAGAACCCTGTGCTTCACTGAGGTCTGTTTTAATTTGTTTTTATAGCTTTTCATTCAGATGGCTATATGAAGTACCAATCTGGACAGAATCAACTCCTCTACTGTCTGGCTTGTCACTGTCTTCTGTGCTTCTACATAATTATTTGGAAATTTAGACCAACTCCAAGATAATGAATGAAGATAAAAGAAAGAAAATCCTAAAAATCCCTTCATTTTTTCTGTAGACTAGAAATATATATGTGCAGTTAAAAGATGCATGAAGATTGTTCTGCAAGAGTTTTAGCTTGAAGTCATCTGGAAATGTTACTGTCTTGCAAGTTCCACTATTTTTGTTCAAGTCACAGTCAATCTCAAAGACCAGCTCATTAGAACCATCTGTGAGCCTGCTTTAGATTTAAAACTTGTATTTGGAAAACATGCTGGCCTGCACACACCATATGATCTTCAAAATCTTCTTCATACCAAAGCATGCCCTAAGTGCACACATTTTCTGGGAGGGAAATTCTTTCTTAAAACACTGATTTTCTTTTCTCAAATTGTCACATCTTTGTTTCTAGTGCGTTCTTCTTCAAAATCTGGAACGGGATGGCTTCAGTTCTCAAAGAGAAACAAAGTTCACCGCAGCTATGGAAGCACTGGCAAGTGAAGCAGGCACAGACCAGCCATGAGGTAATCACAGCTGGATGTAGACACCACGTGATGAATAACAAGGATGTCTACCAGAACTCAGAATTCAGATGGGTGACCTGAGAACAGGTACCTGTGTGCCGTCACAGTTTTGTACAGCTTTGAAAAGGAAAGAGTGCATCAATCACATTTTTCCTCTTTTTTGACCCGTATTTCCCACTTATCTCAAGCATCTTTACATTTTCAATTTAGCATAAATCTACGTAATCTGGTCCTCAGAACTTTCCACCTACTGCCTTTGAGAAGGAATAATCCACAGCCACTTCCCTTTAATACCAAGTAGTTGCTGTGTAACACTTTTCAGGCTTTGATTCCTACAGAGGAAAGTAGGAAAGGACGTTTTTAAGTTATAAATACACTAGATATCATCACTAATTCTTCTGCCCTTCCCATAGATCATGGGAATTTTATTCAACTTGGATATTTTCTAATGATAAGAAGGGAAATAGGATTCATCCTTCAATTACTACCATCTTCCCTGGCTTCTCCTCATTTCTGCACGAAACACACAAATCCAAAACAAGTGACAACACACTTGCTCTATTAAGAATAAAACCTCAGCATCTCCTCTGTGCTCACTCTGATCCCATACATCACCTGTTTCATTCATCACTGATAATTACATTTTACGCTGGTAATTTGTCTAAAATTATTTCACTTTTTTTCCTTCTAAATAAAGGCTGGCACGTAGGTAGCAATGATAACTGATGCAACCACGAAAGATTGCTTTTCATAAATAGTGAATACATTTGTCAGCTGTAAATGAAAGTGCAAAGATAACTCTACAGCTTTATTTGCCTTTCTCACTTAATATGCAGTAGTTTGTATATCCTACTCTATCTCCATGTTCTTCAAAGCTCCACCTTTGTATTTTTTAATGCCTTAGTTTTCCACACTTTTTCACTGTTAACTGTCCTTAACCACTGTTCTCTTCATGCCTTTCTCTCACTGTTAGATTTATAGTTATTTCTCTAAGTTTCTGGTATTTCCCATGGTAGCCAGGAGGCTCTCATTTTTTGCCTTGTATTTCCCCAGACACCATCTTCACTTACTTCCAGCTCACTTTCTCCATGAATTATTCAAAAGTTGATCTACTCGCTAGTGCTGTGTTTTTTCACACCGTCTGGGCTCAGATTTGTTGTCTTTCCTAGGACTTGCTTTGGAAGACTGCAAAGCTCCCACCTGGGGTAAATGGGAGGTAAAGGAGCTCAAACAGGCAGAAGCATAGTCTGAAGACCACATTTAGCCTATGTAACCCACGGCAGTCTTAGGTTTCCTACATGTTTATCATTTCTTCTGTGAATTGCTACATTCTTTGATGAAACTTCATAAATAATGTATCTTAACTGTAGTTGTCAGCATGTATAATCTTTTAAAAGAGTCAGATTTCCAGTATTTAAAAATAATTTCCTCACAGCAGACAATACAAGGCTTCTAGCTATTCAGATTTTTACAATTATTTGTCTTTTGCAAGAAGGTAATAATACAAAAGTAACAATGCATGCAAAACAAAAGGAATACATCCAAAGCACCCTTTGCCCAAACAGAATAGAGTCTCCCTAGAGAGCATATTAACCAAAATATATTATAACCTACCATTATTTGGTTCAGAATATATGCATCTAATTAGGCTTAATGCAAAGGAGAAGTATATAATTTTATGCAAAAAAAGCAAAACAACAAACTGCTTGCTATTGTATGTGCCAGTACTGCTGCAGCTGCTACAGAGCAGCAAGGCAGTATCCGAGGGGGACTGCTTGCTTCTCAGCTGCAAGATGCCTGCTGCAGTAACTGCTGTATCAAGTTCCCACTGCTTAAGGCAGAGGGAATGAAACCCTGGGGCTAACCAAACTTTTTTCTGCTACTACATGAAGTGTGCATCTCAGTGATCTTGTTTACTTCTTTGGTTCAACAGGACAAAGAAAACGCGTTGATACTTGGCTGACTGCACTAAATAGAACAATAAAGACAAGGCCAAATTAGAAACTTGTACAGGGTGAAAAAAATGTGCACACTGTGTCATCAAAGGTACATCACTAAAAGAGCAAGGAGGAGAGCAGAGAATTTAGGGAGGAACCTCATTTTACTGGGCAGTTATCAAACCTGTAAGTAGTGCAGAAATGTTATTCCTGTTCTTCACTAAGTTAAGTACAACTACAGGACAGGAAATGGGGAGAACAGCAGATGAGAGTAGTAGTAGCAGATATTACAGCACAAGCACTGAGTTGAATCTAAAGAGTTATTGCCCTAATGAATAAATAGCGCAGTCCAAAACATTTTGGTTTTATTATTTTCTGATGACAAAATTACTTAAAGAAATGAAGAGATTCACAGACTAGTAAGAACGGATCAAAATTTACTGTTCACTACTATTCAATTACCTCCTTGCAACTGATATTTAATATTACAATTCTCCAAAATGATGAAGTTTTTGAAGAAATAGTAATTATCTATTAAAAGCACATCTGTTAGAAAAGGTTTCCTAAAGGACACTATTAAACAGTTTTCTCAAACTTTGGATAAATGAAATTTTGAATTCTGATCTCTTTCCAACATCCAGCAATTTATGCTCTTGTTCACACTCAAACCCTCCTCTAATGGCCTCAGTGGTCGTGCAGAACTCATCGGTTAGGATCTCCAATGCCTTTGGCTCTTCTCTTTGAGCTATCTAGGCCATGCAAAGGAGACGGAAAGCCGAAGATCCAACCTGCTGGTCATCTGATGGCTGGTCTCAAACTCCTGAGCGCTCCTGGAATATGGGAATATCCCAGATAGACTGGAGCCATCAGTGATGCAGGACTGGCAGAGAAACTCCTGTGTGAGTTATGCTGTTGGGCACAGCTAAGGCAAAAATTTGTGGAGGAAGATTCATCCCTGTTTGTCAAGAGTGGGTCAGGCATAAAATGGCTCTTTGTTTTTTGAAGCTGCCAATAATCTACATATATTTTAGTGCTTACTTGCAAGTTAACTACAAAAACAGTTAGAGGTCCAGGAAAACAGCTTCCAGAAGAGAGTATGCACTTCTGGCATTTGTTTGTGTGGTACTTTATTCTTCAGAGCATTTCAAGTGCTCTTCCCACAAACAAATGGACTCTATTTTATGAATAATACTCTAAGGGGACATTCAATTCTTGTCTTTCACATATCAAATTCAATTCTTTTTTCTTCTTTTGTTTGTTGTGATTTAATAAAACAAAGATGGAGTCAGTAGTTTTCAAGTGGAGACATCTGGGAAATATTGGCAATTGAAATTTATGCTAATTTAGAGTTAGGTTGGCAGGGTGGCTTGTCTCCAGTCAGCATTGTTCCTAGAAACCAAGCTTTAGGAAAAATACTGTTCTTATTTTGACACAGAACATGGTGAAAGACGACCTTGTGCCTTCCATTTCCTATTGATCATATGATACCGACCCACCTATGTCAGCAAACATCTCTTACTGAGACAAATGCACTGCATTGAACAGTAGTTAGGTACTAGGAGAGTAATGAAAAAAATAAATCACATGGTGAAAGCTTAGATCTCATTTTTACTGGAACACTGGCTTATATGATCAACTTTAAGATCTTTCTGGTAATTATGAAATTATTAACTATTAAAAGTGTTTTTGTTCTAATAATTGCCCTTGAAGAACTTGGTACAGTTATTGGAAACAGCATGGATACAATGGAAATGCTAAGATATGAACAATGCTCAGACAGATGGCTTATTTCAGGAACCAAGACTGAATGACCTCTGATCAGTACCTGGGGATCAGACTTTACTGTAGGTGTCCTTTTTTTCCTAGCTTAGGAATTAGGAAATCCAAATTTGAACAAATTCTTCCTGGAATGCACTCTTAAGTTCAAGTGAGAGCAATAGTCATGCAGGCACTGAGGTTACTAATAGGTGCCTTCAAGATGGATAAAGAATCACATTCCTGAAACATTATTTGAAGAAAAAAAAAGGTATCCCTTCAGAAGCTGAATGCTATTAAAACAAAAAAATGCATGTTTTTCAACTAACTGCTAATATTC